CTTTGCTTCTGGCTTCAAAGGATATTGGAGATATTGGGTAGCAGTTTGGTAGGATCTATCTACTCTCTGGGTTCTGCTCCAATTATTTTTTTCTGCATCAAGAGACTTTGAAGGTCAGAGAATGTCAGGTGTGATGACAAGGTTTTTATCCAGGAGGACAAAGGCATATATATATAAATATATAAATATATATATATATATAAATAATATATATTTATCTCAGACACAACTTGATTATGAATAGAGGAGTCCTCCAGAACCTTAATAGTTCCTCTGTTAAGCATTTAATATTACAATTCCATTTGTAGAGTAAGTCTCTCCTTATTAAATTTGCAGGAATGCTATCACAGAGCAGAAAGTAATGTTTTTCATTCAAGGATTCAAGTGCTACAGTTAAGAACTGGCAGGTAGGAAAAAAATCTGGGAGTTGTTTGAAAGACAAAATAATAAGTCTATTAGTAGACCTACTAATTTTCAGGAGTAGAATTTAGTGATTCATCACTTACATAAAAAACCCAGTGCTCATCACTATAAGTGCCCTCCTTAATACTCATCACCCATTTATTTGAAACCCTTCTTAAAATGTTCCAACAACTGTTCAGGAAAAGGTGCTATTTCCTATTCTATTTTTGAATCAGTCTTCAGCTTCAGGTTTAACTCCATTGACAGATTGAGATGAAAGGGCTTCTTTCACACTGACACCTTTGGTGAACCTCCCAAATGTTGTCAGAGGGATTTTCTAGTCTAGCACAAAAATCTCTTTCATTTTTACTTTTCTGTTTTCATTATTAAATTATGGTCCAATCAATTTTTATTGGAAATGTTTAGGGATATTACTGGTAAGAGGCTTTGCCCTACTTTTCAGGCTTTTTTTTTTTTTTTTTTTTTGACCCTAGCTTTATTATGGCAAAAGAGATGCTGTAGATCTCTTTCTGGGTCAATCCAATCAGCTTTTGCTATTCAAGATTTAGCATCTGTGGTCCTGACCAACACATGGACAAGCTGATGTAGGCTGGGTAACCCTGAATCATATACACACAAAATAATTGTAAATTCTTCTAGGAATAGTTCCTGGTCTTGTTGGGGGTCTTGTAGGGAGGCCCTTAACTACAGCTCTTAATTCATCTTGGGTCCAAAGTTTAAATTCTACAGTTGCTGTATAACTGGCTCATAAGAGAGATGGATCTTTAGAGGCAACTGACATTTTATGGTGCTAGAAGGTTGTTGGGAAATCATAGAGGGTCTGCTCAAGAGGAAGAGACAGACGTAATTGACAGAAGTGAAGAAAGACAGAGATGAGAAGGATAAAGAGGAAAGGGGATATTGGATATAGGGAGGCAAGGGGAAGACAAGGAGAGGGAGGATTTACTAGGAAATGAGTTTAGTTTCTTGTTGCTTAGGCTTGTCAAATTGCTCACTAGCTTTGGCCAAATAATCTTTTAATGAAATAATTTTTGAACCAGAATTTCTTTTGGAGGCTTTGCTATACCAATTAAAAACTGCTGCCCATTGACCTAGGAAATCCTAATTCCCCTTCTTTTCTAGGGTGCTCATTAAATACAAAATTTATTCAAGTCAAATGTTCTGCAGAGTGGCCACTGAGGCGCAAACACTTACAGCTGAAGTTACACCATTTAGAGAGACAGCCACCAGAGCCAGGATTATAATGACAACACATATAAGAAGCAGCAGTTTTTCCTGGAGGAGGAGCGGATTTAGGCTCAGACAACCCCAGAAGAGCCTGCAAAGACTGATTGAAAGTGATGCTTGTGTTCTTTGTGTGTCAAGCGCCCCGCCTGAAGGCTGGCCCCCTCCAAACACTGACTCCCTGGCAGGTAGAAAATTAGAGAGAGCACTCCCTCTAAATTGAAGGCAAATTAGGAAGGGGTGCCTCACCCAGTTAATAAAACTGATCCACAGTGAAGTTTGTCCAATGGATGCCCATCTGGTGAGAACTGCAAACTCATTGGTCTGTGAGGCTGGCTTGAACAGCAGGTTTATAGGGCCTATGGCTGTGTTCTACCCTATGATCCTCCTTCTTATGACAAATCATACTTTCAGATAACACAATACAAAATGAAAGTATAAAAGAGAGCCCCCCCCAAAAGGATGAAAAGGAATAGTGTGATTCCACCAAGGATAACTTAAGTAGAATAAATAGCTGAGGAACTCAATGCAAAGATAGCAGAGTTTGGACCCAACACTGATGATGTAGGCACAGACATTACAAACCACACACAGCAAGGCACAAGGGTCCTCTGTGGGGACCACATTGGATCAAAGCTTGGGGTCCAGGAGGTGATGGACAGTGCAGACTGTGTCTCAGTGCAGTCTTTAGGAAAACTGTGGCAAGAAACAAAGACCACCCAGATAATAAACAGAAACTTCATTCAGAGCTCGCTAGAGCAAGGGAGTAAGTCACCATCAGGTGCATTTGGCAAACTCAAGGGCAGCCAGGGAAGTGGAAAAGCTTTATGGTGAAAACTGGGAAGGGTTCAGATGAGCTCTGACTGGGGTTTGCTGGCAAGGGGAAGATGGAGGTAGGCTAACTAGAAAAGAGCATCTTAGATCACTGGTTTAGGGAGAGCATATCTGGCTTTCTCTGCTTGGTCCTGAGTTGGAAGAGAGTGAAAAACCTGGGAAGCTGGCAGGCATCGACTGAGTCCTAAATGTTCTGGCAAGATAGATGCAGGGGTTGTAGTCTGGCTTCCTGAGCTACCTGTTGCAGAGATTATGGACTGGGGTTCTAATCCTATCAGACAGTGTCTGGTCCTTGTCAAGTCTATCAAGGCGAAGATGGCCTGAACAATTACATCTCATTTAATCACCATGATGGTCTTCTCCATGTCTCTGTTTTACAAGTGAGGAAAGCAAAGCTCAGGGAATATGAGTAATGTATCCAAAGTCATACAACCAGCAACACAAGCAAAGTTCAGATCTATGAATGTTGGATCTATTTTTAACTATGTTATGTCTTGAAAGGGCAATGAAATTATTCTTATGTTGTCCTATTAAAAATATTAGATGCTCAATAAGTGCACATTGGGTGAGAGAATGGATGAAAATAATTTCCGAACACTTCTTTTGCAACTGCCTCCAAGCTTGTATTTTTTAAAATAACTTCTATGAAGGCAGAGCTTGATTATGGATTTAGTTTGTAGAAACAAACATTTTTTCCCAAATTAAGACCAGAAACTAAGGTGAGAGAAACTGCTGGCTCAGAAACCTAGCGTATCCACTCAGTAATGAGATGGCTCTTGTGATTTTTGCACATTTGCTTGTGATCGACAAATCAGTTTTGAAGGCTTTCCCAAAGGAGAAATTGCAAGAAGAGTTATATTTTGGGAATAAGAACTCATCACTTCAAAAGTTTAAAGGCTGATGCTTACTTTAAAAAATAAGCTAAATTCTCATTATTTTTGTGTTTTATCTTTCTGCATAATTTCACAAAGTTCTCAATGGTATATCATTCAATAAAAATTTGTCAAATATCTATTATGTGTTTAGTTCTGTGCTTTGAACACAGATATCAAATATTGCCTTGTCAAACAGGGGCTCGCAGTCTAGTTGAGGAAAACAGAAAATTAACGACTGAAATGCAGTTTGACAAGTGCCAGGCTGACAAATGGTGGGTATCGATACCCTGGGAACAATTAGTAGGAACAGCAGTGAGTTGGTACTTGTTAAACAATTAATTCCTGGGGGGAGTGGCAGGAAGGTCAAAGCCTCATTTGCAGCATTTGTTGAGTATTTATTATATAAATACTCCCACCATGGCCAATTTCAAGCTTACAATACGATGCCATTAAAAGGGAGTTGAAAAGAGATGTGCAACAGTACACCATCATGTCCTATTTCCACTGTCCAGATACAAGAGATGTAAATAATCTCAAAAGCACAGATAACAGTAAAATGTAGAAAAAGTAGGTAGGAAGTGACAAGTTTGTGTAGTTATCACGTTTGCTTTTCATATAGTTAACTTTACTGTAAACTTACATAATCTATTGTTAAAAAACAGCCGTATTTAAAAACCAGCCCATAAAATTACTGAACATTTAACAATCAGCTCTTGGAAAGCAGAACTGGAACCAGTTCGAGTGGACTCTAGCCCACCACTGAACAAGAGCAATGTCAGGAATTACTGTAGGCTCACCTAAGGAGACGAGTGCAAGGAAACTGAAGGCAGGGATCCTACCTTTTCATTTCTGTATCTCCCATATCGAGCGCTAGGTTGTTGAAGGGTCAAAGCAATTCATCAATATGTTTGTTTGTTTGTTTGTTTGTTTTTAGCCCCTACTGTATTCTGGGCACTGTTCTAGGTGCTTGGGGGTATAGCAACGAAAACCAAATCTGTACCTTTAGAAAATTTACATCCATTGGGGGTATAGCAACGAAAACCAAATCTGTACCTTTAGAAAATTTACATCCATTGGTGTGTGGTCGTGGGGTGTACAAGAAAAAAGTAAAATCAGGTGGTGGGTGATTAGTGTTGGGGGTAAAAATTCTCTATTGCAGAGGCACTGCTATTTCATAGCGGGCTGTCAGGCAATGGCAAATATGGAGACCTACGAAAGTAAGGAGGAAAGGTTGTGGAATATGAGAAACACGGTGTAAGTAAGACTGAAGCACAGACTGCACAAATCTCACCCTTCAACAGGGCTGGAACGCAGAGCAAGCTACGGAAGCTTTTCTCCAGAGAAGCCCAGACAGTTCCGTTCCCCCTTACTCTTCTCAGCCTCTCTGCACAAGGGCAGAAGTCTTCCTCCAAGTCGGTCTCATGGATACTCTCCGAAAGTCGCTTTACGCACGGACAGCCCTGCGCATGCTCAAATCCACGGTTTCTGGCGCACAAACTAGGGCAGTTTGCGCATGTGCGTAAACGAGACAAGATTTTTGTCCCAAGGCCTTGCCGTACCGTCCGGGCGGCGAGTTGCATCCTGGTTCAGTTAGTGTGTACGGCGTGTATCGAGTATTTGCTGATCACTGTCGCCACCAACAAAATGAACCGCGAGAGCTTCGCGGCGGGCGAGCGGCTGGTGTCGCCGGCTTATGTGCGGCAGGGCTGTGAGGCCCGCCGCTCGCATGAGCACCTCATAAGGCTGCTTCTGGAGAAGGTACCGAGCTGTCGGGTCACTCCCCAGCTGCCGCGCCCCCCAGAGCCTCTGGCTCCGCCCAGCGCCCCTTTAGTCCCGCGTACTGCCAACCCGCACCTGTTTGTTGGTTGAGACCTGTGCCCGGAGTGTCTCGCAGCTTGCGGTGCGCTGGGCTGACTTGCTGCTCTCAGCAGATTCTCAGCCTCACCATAAACCAGCAAAACCCAGAGCGTGTAGTTAAGGGAGCTTGTGGGAGTCCGGATTTTGAGTCCTCTGTTTTTTCCTAACTTGGGGACGTGAAGTGAGGGGAAGTCCCAGTTGCTTTACTGTTTTGTTTGCGAAGAGGGCAAAGTTCGCACCTTCTCTCTTTGACTATCCCAAGGACTGGGGGAGTGCTTTGTGTTTGTAAACCAGGACACAGTAACTCGAACCAAGAACTGCTGCAGACCTCACGGGTCTCGTTCCTGCCAGTAATCCGAATTTTAATTTCACTCAAGTTTGACAAGACCTAGTCTTAGCAGTCTGGTTTGAAGAATCCTCACTGAAGATACAATTTATTTGTTTTCAGTTACCTTAACTTACTATAACTTTAAACCCGAGTAAATGTCATCGTATTCATTTATTATCCCTTCTAGGAATCTGTAGATAATTGTAATGCCGTGTAACAAATGTTTTGCCTCTTCGAGGTTTCTTCTTTGTGCTGAATTTATGTCCTAAGTTTAGAAAGCAAGAAGCATGGCAAAATACACACTGCAAAGTTTAAAAAATTCATTGAAGTACAGTTCTAGGGGATGATTTTCTGAAATATAAGCTTTTCTATTTTTTTCCAGGGCAAGTGTCCAGAGGATGGTTGGGATGAAAGTACACTTGAACTTTTTTTACATGAACTTGCAATCATGGATAGCAACAATTTCCTGGGCAATTGTGGTGTGGGAGAAAGGGAAGGGAGAGTGGCATCTGCCTTAGTTGCTCGGCGTCATTACAGGTATATTTTTAAAGTAGAAAACCTTTCTTTCTTTCTTTCTTTCTTTCTTTCTTTTTTTTTTTTTTTTGGTTAAAAACAATGGTGTTAATACTAATGTTAAATTATAAAACATCTATTGGTGACCTACTTCTTCCCTCTTCAAATGGACATATAAACCAGATGCAACAGGGAGATGGAAACAGTTTGTGTGAGTAGTTGCTTTTCAAGACAGTTGGGAGAAGGTTCTAGTTATCCTGTCACGTTCTGGGTGTTTAAGAATACTGCCTATGCATTTAACATAATAAATCTGTTTGGTTTTAAGAGTTTAAACTATGTTAAGGTTGTTGATAGTTTGCCATATTTCTTTTCTGGTATTGCACGGTTCTTTAGAGAATGATATGTAGGTAGAACTTTAAAATGTTCGTCAGTATCTAAACCGAATCCTATTTTATAAATAGCTTGTTTTGTTGCAGTAGATGTAGGAATGGTATGCTAAACTTTAGATTATTAAGTCACTTTCCTTTTGCAATATTTTAGAAAGCTTTTCGTCAATTCTGCTAACCATTTAATTGGTAGTGTTTCCAAATATGATCATTTCTCTGTTCTTCCACTTTTCTGTGAAATATAGGTTAACTTTTAAAAACTCCTGTCTTGAAATTTTCAGTGGTGAAATTTTTCTGAGCATTAGTAGAATTTTATTTCAATCAAAACCATTGCAGTCAGAACTAATGATAATGATCTGTAACTTGGCTGAAAAATTCGTGGTTAAAATGGGCTGATAACATGATTTATAATATTTGTTAAAAAATGCTTTGTACATTATGTTTCAGTATGTTTCACAGACACCAGTGTTTTGTGATAATCCCAGTGTGATGAATTTCTGATATTACTACAAGTAGTACAAACATTTTTGATTTTGAAAAATACTCAGATGTATCTTTCATGTGTATAATTTCATCTAATTTAAAATGAGTGGATTTGCATACTGATTTTTCAAGGAGTGTATACAGTTGACCCTTGAATAATATGGGTTTGAACTGTGCAGTTCATGTGGATTTTTTTCAGTGAATGCAGGACAATATTGTAAATGTATTTGCTCTTCCTTATGATCTTCTTAACATTTTCTTTAACTTGTTTTATGGTAAGAAAACACTGTACTATACATATAACATATAAAATATGTGCTAATTGACTGTTTATGTTACTGGTAAGGCTTCCAGTCAATAGTAGGCTATTAGTAATTAAGTTTTGGGGGAATCAAAGTTATACATAGATTTTTGACTGTCAGGCACCCCTAACCACCACCCCCCCCCCCCGCCAAGGGTGACCTGTAGTATTTTTTAAATTAAGGCTATATTTGAAATAGCAGCTCATCCCCATTGAAACTTAGTCCACTTCTCTGGTTCAGGAAATGAAAGAAAGAAGAGAATCTAATGTCATATATATTCTGGTTTTCTATTGCTGCTAACAAACCACCTGAAAATTTAGTGGCTTAAAACAGTAATTTATTATTGTCTTTCACAGTACTGTGGTAAGTTAACTGGGCTCAGCAGTATGATTATTGCTTCCAGTCTCTCATGCAGTTGTAGTCAGTAGTTGGCTGAGAGTTTAGCTATTAGGTCAACTGGGGCAATTTATCCAGGTTGACTGACTTAGACGGCTGGGAGCTCAGATGGCCTTCACACCTAGCATGGGCCTCTCCCAGCATGGCATCTGGGTTATAGGAGGGAGCTCCTGCAAGAGCAGGCCCTTCCAGAGGCCAGGTGAAGCTTTAGGTCTTATTTGACCTAGATCAGAAATTCCAGAGCATCACTTCCGCTAGATGCTTCCTGGCCAACCAAGTCACTAAGGCCAATTCAGATTCAAGTGGAGAGGAATTTGATTCCATTTCTTGGTATTGACAGAAGTGTGTGTGCCTAGAGAGAAAAGGAATTGATGGTGGCCATCTTTGGAGACTAGCTACTGCAATATAATTGATTTCAGTTTAACTAGGATATTTTCACATTTTTAATAGTTTATGAAATATATCTGCAATAGTCAAGTGTTGCCTCTAGTGTTTTTTTTTTATTATTGTATCTGTATACTTACACAGTGAATTACTTAGAACACTGAATATTTTTGTCCAGTTGTTGGCCCATTTTTTGCTTAGGTTCATTCACGGAATTGGACGATCGGGTGATATTTCTGCTGTGCAACCAAAAGCTGCAGGTTCTAGCCTTTTGAACAAAATTACCAATTCTTTGGTCCTGGACATCTTAAAGTTGGCTGGTATGTACTATATTAATCATAATATTTTGGCTGACCAGCCACACCCACCTTTGCTTAATATCTTTAGTTAATGCCTCTTTCCAAACAGGTCCTGAAGGGCTCTTGAAAAGACATAAAGACATACGTATTTTTAAAAATCCTTTAGGAAAAAATGGAAAATCAGAGCCATAAGCCTGGAGGATGAATTTGGCAGTGAGCTTCCTGAGGTCAAGTACAGAGGAAGCACTGTCTATAACTCTTACTATTTGATTGAAGAATTATATCATTTCTGCAAGAAGGATGCTGGTTTTTTAGTGAAATAACTAATTTCTCCTTTACTTCTTATTTGTAGGTGTCCCTACAGTGACCAACTGCTTTGTAGTTCCCATGGCAACTGGTATGAGTCTAACCTTGTGTTTCTTAACATTACGACATAAGAGACCGAAAGCAAAGTATATTATATGGCCGAGAATAGACCAGAAGTCCTGCTTTAAATCCATGATCACTGCAGGTAAAAGAAAAAAAGTGACATGCATAATGTGGAAAATTTACCCTTTTAGAGGTGATTGAATGAAAAAGAAACTAAATGTGTTCTTATTCTTCCTTTTTATTGTAATAAAATATACATAATAAGATTTACTGGTTTAATCATTTTAATTTGATTATTTATTTTTTAAAATATTTCATTCATTTGAGAGAGAGAGCAAGTGCAAGCACGAGCAGGGGGGTAGTAGAGGCAGAGGGAGAGGGAAAAGCAGATTCCCTGCTTAGCAAGGAGCCCAGTGGCATCTCCATCCCAGGACCTTGAGATCATGACCTGAGCCTAAGGCAGATGCTTAATCAACTGAGCCACCCAGGTGCCCCAATTTTAATCATTTTTAAGGCTAAGATTCTATGACATTAAATACATTCACAGTGTTGTGCAATCATTATGTAACACCATCTCCAGAACTTTTCCATCCTCTTAAATTGGATCTCTACCCATTAAACAATAACTCCTCCTTCCCTGCTACTCCCAGTTCCTAGAATTCACCGTTCTACTTTCATGTGTCCATGAATTTGACTACTCTGGGTCCTTCATATAAGTGGAATATAGTGTATTTGTCCTTTTGAGACTGGGCTTATTTCATATAGCACAATATCTTTAAAGTTCATCCATGTTGTAGCATGTATCAGAATTTCTTTCCTTTTCTAAGAGTAATACTCCTCTGTGTATATTTATATCTTACATTTTGTTCATTCATTCATTCGTTGATTACTACCTGGATTGCTTTCACCTTTTGGCTCTTGTGAATAATGCTGAGTAAACATGGGTGCAAGAATACCTGTTCGAGTCCCTGCTTTGAATTCTTTAGGGTCTATACTCCAAAGTGGAATGTCTGTATCATATATCCCTATTCTTTGAAATGGGAATATGATTATCTGTCTCACAACATTGTTTTGAGCATTGAGCAGGATGACATATGAAATACCCAGCAGTAATCCCTGGAGCATAAAGGTACTAAGGGGCTTTAGGAATGGTGGGTGTAGATACATAAATGGGATACATATAAATTATTACCATAAACGCAAGGGTAAGGATCCAGGCATCATTACATATAGGTGAGGCAAAAACTTTACGTTGGTATTTTAGTATTTAGCTTGCTTAAGTCAAGGTGAATTTGGGAACTTAAGGTTAATTTTGAATAGCCTCAGTCTGTTGTAGGAAGTAAACTATATTGGCCTATAATTAAACTGCATAAATAATCCTAAAGAAATCCATTTAAAGGGATTCATAGTAAGGACATATAGCAGAAATTGATAAAAAGATACACTGATTTATGTTAAGTAGTATGAAGTTGTCAAGTCTGTTTACTTACATCCTGTTAACCAAAGAACTAATTACCAAACTTATGGGAAAGGTTGCCATATTGAAAAATGGGAAACTTTTCCAAATGATATTAGGATTTGTATTACAATGTACAGTTAATCCTTTCTTAGGATATATTCTTAGGAAGCCAGATAGTTGTATCCTCCAAAAAAACTTGCATTTTAAATGTTTGAAGGCAAAAATAGGGTTGGGTCGAGAGAATTTGAAAAATAATAGAAAATAAGCTGTCATTAGGAAGCACTACTTATTTAAGTTTTTTTTTTTTTTTTTTTTTTTAATTTATTTATTTGACAGAGAAAGATCACAAGTAGGCAGAGAGGCAGGCAGAGAGAGAGAGAGAGGAGGAAGCAGGCTCTCCGCTGAGCAGAGAGCCCGATGCGGGACTCGATCCCAGGACCCTGAGATCACGACCTGAGCCGAAGGCAGCGGCTTAACCCACTGAGCCACCCAGGCGCCCAAGTTTTGTTTGTTTGAAAGCTATGAAGGTATAGATATAAAACCCGGACATCTCTGAGCCAGTATAATTGAATTGATGATTTTACAGTGGCCAGGTTTTTATATTTCTATAGATAGAATGCAGACAACTTGATATGGATTATTAAGCACAGAAGAAAACTACTTGCTTATAACTGTGCTTTAATTTGCTGTGTGACCTTGGGGAAGCCACTAAATTTTCCTGAACTTTGGCTCCCTTATCTTTGAAATGAGTGAGTTGAGGTAAATGGTTTCTAAGTCTCTTAGAGCCCCTAAGTGCATAAGTCCAGCCTGCTGTAGATTTGCTATTTAGGAATACTGAAGATGTGACTACATAATAACTTGATGTGTAAAATCTCCCAAGTTTATTTTCTATCCAGTTTGTAAGACTCTGACCACTTAGATTTTACTTACACCCTAAGTACTTAGTAGCATTACAAAATATTAGGTTATCTAAGTGCTCTGTGCAGTGTTTGGTGTATATATTGCACATACAACTCTTGAAGTTTATGGATACCTAAGTGTTCACCATGCAAGATTACACAGTTATTATTTGGGGCGACCTTTGATCATATGCTAATTAAGTGTACTAATTCAATTGAAAATTGAGAAATAGTTTTTATATTTAAATTGTAGAAGGCCTTTGTGAAACTGTGGGATAGGTCAGTGGTCAGTAAACTACTAAAGTTCATTACTTTTTCTTTAGGAGTAAAATATTAAATTGGTGATTGTGATTTGTTTTAGTACTTGAATGTATTGTTATTCTTGTCCATCTCTGAAATAAAGTGAACTTAAAAATGAAATGTTGCCCGGGGTGCCTGGATGGCTCAATCAATTAGGTGTCTGCCTTCCGCTCAGGTCATGGTGCCAGGGTCCTGGGATTGAGCCCCACATTGGGCTCCCTGCTCTGCGGGAAGCCTGCTTCTCCCTCTCCCACTCCCTCTGCTCTGTTCCCTATCTCTTGCTGTCTCTCTCTCTCTGTCAATTAAATAAATAAATAAAATCTTTTTAAAAAAAGTGAAATGTTGCCAGAGAATGAGTAGATTTACTTTTCTGGGGTCTGAAGTTGAATTGTGCCAAATGATCCTTTTTGTCATCAATGACTGTGTTACTACTTTTATAGGTATTTATTTGACATTGGTTTTCCTTCCCAGAATTAATCTTTGTAGTCCTATCTAAGTGTTAAATAAATTTGTGGTCCTATTTGTGGTCTACTAGTCCTTCACATTATTTTGGCCTGCTTTTGAGTCCTACCAGTATCAAGCCATGTCTCTATTATTCAGGGAGGGTTCACTGACGGGATTTAGAGTTCTTGTGTGGAATAACACTGCTTCCTAGAGTTCCAGGATCTTCCCTTATTTTAGTTTATCTAACATTTTTGATTTCTGATTGGCTTGGTTAGGTTTTGAGCCTGTGGTGATAGAGAATGTTTTAGAAGGTGACGAGCTGCGCACAGACCTGAAAGCAGTGGAGTCTAAAGTCCAGGAACTTGGGCCTGATTCCGTTCTGTGTGTTCATTCCACTACATCCTGTTTTGCTCCAAGGGGTCCTGATAGGTAAATCATTTGCAAATATTGTCCTTTAGGTTTTCATTGGGTCTTTTAAATAAAATGCAGATATGCTGATTCTCAAAGATGCTTAAGTAACATTGGGCAGTAAATAGGTAAATGGACTAGCAGAGAAAAAGCTTGGTGGTTTGGGAAGATAAAAATTTGATATAGAAGAAGGAAAAACAACTAATACCAAGTGGAGATCTCTTTATCACCTGTGTAGACACAGAACATCTCTGTGTTCTTGCTTTTTTCTGTTTCTGATCTCTTTGCATCTTTGCCTCATTATTTAGTAGAAACTTCTAAGCATAATGTTGGATTTACTTGTTTTCATTGCTATCTCTATCGCTTTGATCTTACAGTTAGTTTCCCTATATAAGAACTATTAGTATTAACAGATTTTTTGAATAGGAAATTTTAGGATTATTTATTACCTTTTGAGTTTTTTAATTACAAGATTAACTCACATGTACACTTAAGTGTACACAGTGGATGTCTCTGCATTTTGAGAAGAATGCATATATTTAAGAAAATAAAAGCATACTTTTATAAAGGATGTCCACAGATTTAATTCTGAAAATGTAATAGGCTTGGGTATAGTAATACAGATTTCTAGTTTTGACAGCAACTCTTTGTTTCATTTTAACATTTTGAACAAGTGCTGGTAATTTTAAAAACTATATTGACTTTGGTCTATTTTTTAAGATCAAATTATACTTTAGTTTTATTTAATTCATGGAATCACACAATTTGGCATTAATGAATGTATGTTACTATTTATTATTTTATAGGCATGTTTTAAGAGACATGTTAAGACCATGCTCTTGAAAATTTACCTTGTTTAATTTGGGACTGCAAATTCTATTTTAAGATTATATTGCATATGCTTTACTTGTTTATGCATTACTTACCAATCAGTTTTTAAATTTGCATTGAAATATTAAATAAACATCACTATTCATTCTTCATTGATGATTTTCCTATCTAGAAAAATTTTCATGTGATAGAAATAAGTCACATTTCCAAAAATAGCACATGGGTATTTGTGATAGATTGTTTATGCTTGAGGTTAGTTTTGTTTCATTTTGATTTTTTTTAGATGTTTACAGTATACTTGGTATAGAGTTAAGTATTTTACATTTTTCTCTCCTTTGGAAATAAACCACAAAAGTTTTTTATCAGCAAATTCTTAAATGCCACTTTTTAGTTCTGTTATCTAATGAATGTTTCTGACAAGAGTAAACTTTAGGAAAATAGTGATGCACAGTTATTAATATGTTTGAATGTCTGATTTTATTAAATTTAAAATATATTTTGATTTCTTTACATTAAGCTTATTTTTTATAGTCTTAATTTGAATAGGGATATATATATATAGTATTTATCAGTTAATTGGACAGAATATTGTGGGACCAGATCAGTCAAAGGAAATGTAAAAAAAAGGCATATCATTTCTTCTGACAGACATCTTAAATTGGCCACTAAGTTACAATACAGTTTGATCCACATGGAGGATATTTTTTGTCTCCTTGCCTTTCATTAAATACCTTTATGCACCCCCTAAATACTAGCAGATTTGATCAATTCTGAATATTTAAAATAATTCACAAGTGATTTTTTTTTCCTTCTTAAAATAGTACTTTATGTTATAGTATCATACTTTAAGGGAGCTTTATTATTAAGGAATGCTTTTATTAGAACACAAACATACAAAAGTGACTTTTATGAAGAAAATACTTGTTCGTACCCAGAAAAGTTTTGTTTTTTAAAAACAACATTTGATTAATTTGGGTAATAGAAAGGTTCCTCTGTCAGTTTGTGAGGTTTATGAAAATGAATGATAAAATGACTTTTTAATTCATAATACCTTAAGGAAATAGTAAACTGAAAACCTCTGACAGAAGAACAGAATAATGTCATTCCTATCTGTACTTTAAGAACATATTAATAAACATCTAAAAAAGAAAATGTATTTTGTAAAAATAAATGATAAAACCATATAATATATATTTGAAATACATCCTTATGGGAAAGAACTTTTATTGAGTAAAAATGCTTTGCTTCCAAATTCTTTGTATTGTAGAAAGAACATTTTTTTAAAAAATTTAATTTTATTAAATCATAGGATTTAGTTTTGGCTTCATAGCATGTGAAGACATTTCTATTAGAAATGGCCTCAGTCATAAGTAGTATTTGGTTTTGCAAGGGAACATCATTTATTACACTCTAATTGAAATTTATTACCTTACTTTGCATAGAGTTAGACTCTCAAATTGTTTTAATATAAGGAGCGTCAAATGAAAAAGTAAGAGTGAATTTAAAACCAGCAGCTATTTAAAAGATCCTTTAGTTTGCAAGTTGTTGGAAAATGTTATTTTGGTACTGAAACATTTAATGTTCTGTATTTTTTAATACATTAAAGTCTACTTGAAAATGTATTTTTTACTTTACGAGATGTTAAATGTAAGATTTCCTGAGATTTCAAGACATGCTAATTATTTTGCAGCTATTAGCTTTAGTATGATAAGCAACCAAAAGCATTTAAAAATGAACATACCACCTTGTGAAGGGGTCATTATCATCTGCTTCTTGTTTTTTATATGGGAAATCTTAAAGTGATTTAAAAGCTACCATCTGTACAGATTTTGATAAATACCCGTTTTCTCATTTATTGGTAATATTAATTTAAAAGCTTTTTTAGGTTTATCCTAAAGTGCCTGCTGCTGAAAATGCTAAAATACCACTGTAGAAATTTCAGTTTTCCCATTTTTTTTCTGGTGTACATTAAGAATAACTATTGAATTAAAGAAGTTTTCACACTGTAATTTATAAAAGCACAGTAGGAATATGTCTTTCTGTTGAATATTTATGTTTGTAGAGTAGAAGAACTGGCTGTGATCTGTGCTAATTATGGCATCCCACATATAGTCAACAATGCATACGGAGTGCAGTCTTCAAAGTGTATGCACCTCATCCAGCAGGTAAGAGAGTTTAAAAAGATAATGTCGGGAAAAAATGATTTTCATATATTACAAGATTATTCCTTCGTTTTTCTTACCACTTAATATAGTAAAATCGACTGTGATATCCTCACCTTCATGGAGCATTAGAAATTGGCATCTAAGGGGCGCCTGGGTGGCTCAGTGGATTAAGCCTCTGCCTTCAGCTCAGGTCGTGATCTCGGGATCCTGGGATCGAGCCCCGCATTGGGCTCTCTGCTCGGCGGGGAGCCTGCCTCCTCCTCTCTCTCTGCCTGCCTCTCTGCCTACTTTGATCTCTTTCTCTCTCCTTCTTAAAAAAAAAAAAAAAAAAAAAAAAGAAATTGGCATCTAATATCCATATGGTAAAAGTGACTCTTCTTTGCTGGTCATTAGACTGATAGCTTTGGTCAGGACCAACATAGAACTACTTAGTAGCTTATTTTTTTTTTTAACTTTCTGAGATTGTTTCATTACCAGTATTGTTGCTTTTCTAATATACTGGGTTATTGTATTTTTAAAACTATGTTGATGATTTATTCCGTATTTAAGGAATCACTATAACTTATTATCCTAGGGTTGAAATGGCTTCATTTGTAAACATTTGAGTGTATAACTATGAAGTTGGCAGGTTTAAAAAAAAGTTATGATTTTGTTATTTTAAGGATCAACCAGATTCTAGTCATCTGTTTTAGATTCTTTTTTAAAAATTTTATTTATTTATTTATTTTGAGGGAAAGAGAGAGAGAAAGAACACGAGCTGGGGAGGACAGAGAGAGAGGGAGAAGCAGACTCCCCATTGAGCAGGGAGCCCAACTCAGCCCTCCCTCCCTGGACCCTGGGATCAGGGCATGAGCCGAACAAGACACTTAACAGACTGAGCCACCCAGGCGCCCCATAGAGTTTTTTTTTTTTTTTTTTTTTTTAAGATTTATTTATTTATTTTAGTGAGAGAGAGAGTGTGCATGTGGGGGTTAGGAGCAGAGCGAGAGGGAGAGAGAATCTAGCAGATTCCTCCCGACACAGGGCTGCATCCCACAACGCTGAGATCACGCTCTGAGCCAAAACCTAGAGTCAGATACTTAACTGACTTTACCACCCCGGCACCCCTGTTGTAGATTCTTATTTTGAAAATACTCCTGGGCATCCCGTCCTGCTCAGAATTAGAGGCATAGCCATGGCTTGCGAGGCTTTGTGTACTCAGGCCTTTGCATCTTCTCCAGTTTCATTTACTACTGCCCTCTCTCTCTGACCCGCTGCCTCTGGGCACATTTTTTCTGTTCATTGTGCCATGTGTGTGCGCACTGCCCTGCTTTTGCTCTTGTTCCGTCCTCTCACTGGGTTCCTCTTCCAGAGAGCTGCATGGCTTTTTAACTCTCTCAGACACCCTATCTAAAATTTCAGGTTCCTTTTTTTTGCCTGCATTTTCTGACTCCCTTTTCCTATTTTATATCATACTCATTTATTCTAAAGTACACAGTTTTCCACATTATAACGTCTGTAAAATTGGGGTGTCTTAGAATCAGTGGTGTCTTATAGTGTTAATTGACAATGTTTTTTCTTACCTAGTAGTGTGGAAAATTTGGGTGCTTCTTAAAATTGATGGCCTCTTGTTCTTTTTCTCCATAGCACATATCACCATTTGATATGATGTTTATTTTTTTTATTGTTTAGTTATTGGTAATAACTAGAATTAAGATTTTGTTAGAGAAAGGACTTTGTTTTGTTCACTGTTATGTCTTCAATACTTAAGACAGAATGTGTTACATAATTGATATTCAGTGACTGGTTCCTGGAAAAATTGGATGAATAAATGAAATATTATATTTACTTAGAGTGGTTAATTACTTGTATTAAGATGTGGATAGCTATTATCCATGTATAGTATGAGTTATATAATCTATGTGCATAATGGTGTTAATCACATACTCAGTTTTGACACACATGTGGTTTGTGTTACCTGGGGAAGACTTACTCATAGATTATCTGTGGCCTTCTCCAGTGCAGTGGTGAATGTCCTTAGCCCAGTAGGTCCTAGCTGGTAAAAAAAAAAAATAATAATTTTTGGAGTATACTAGTATCATTTCTCATATAAATGTAGTTTATATGATAGTATTAGCTGATTTGCTTAACTTCTTTACTGAAAGGTTGTATCAGGGCACAACTAGGTGCAGGTAACAGAAGCCCAACTCAAATTCAGCTAACCAGTGAGGAAATGATTAGTTTATATAAATCTCCAGGTGGAGTGGCTGGTAGGCATGTTATGCCAGAGGAAGACTATTTATCGTTACTTTCATATCCTTTTCCATTATTCCTTAACTTTTTAAGGAACTTTTCCATCATAATTCTATTTTTTTAAAGATTTTTATTTATTTATTTGACAGAGATCACAAGTAGGCAGAGAGGCAGGCAGAGAGAGAGAGGGGGAAGCAGGCTCCCTGCTGAGCAGAGAGCCCAATGCAGGGCTCGATCCCAGGACCCTGAGATCACGACCCTGAGCTGAAGGCAGAGGCTTATTAACCCACTGAGCCACCCAGGCACCCCTCTGTCATAATTCTAGACAAGATTATTTCCACTGTGAGTGGTAGCCAAGAAAGGTTGTATAATTTTCTACACTGGAAATCTTTTTTTTTTTTTTTTAAGATCTTATTTATTTATTTGAGAGAGAGCACGAGAAAGGGGAGGGTCAGAGGGAGAGGCAGACTCCTGGCTGAGCAGGGAGCCCGATGCAGGGCTTAATCCTAGGACTCTGGGATCATGACCTGAATGGAAGGCAGACACCTAACCAACTGAGCCACTCAGGCACCCTCTATACTGGAATTCTTGAAAACATTTTATTTCAGTGATTTGTTTTTATTTCCCTTTTCCCTTTTCCTCTTTAATTTTTAGCAGTCTCAGTTATTTTGAAAGCATGCTCTACTTTGTCATCACTTCTAATTTGTGAGGTGATTTTACTGAAACTTTAATCAGAAAATAACACTTTAAGATGGGTGAGTGATATTTAAATAGTTACTGTATTGTTGCAGATACTATATTAACTTCTAAAATGAGCATTTCTTAAAAGGAAAAAAAAAAACTGTACTTAAATGTTTTAATGTTCCCAAATTGGCCCTCACAAAATGAGTTGGTGGCACTGTTGCTTTAAGCCAAGGAAATACTTGGGTCTTATTGAGTGAGACTTGCTGTTGATGACATTCTAAAAAAAATTATAGTTTTAATTCATCTCCATAGTTCTTCTTAGTAATATGCCATTAGTAATGCCATTTATTGAGTACCCACCATTTGTCAGGCATTCTGCTAGACTTTTAAAGTTTATTAGCTTAATCCTAACAATTTAAGGTGTACTTATTATTTATTTCCTTTCTGCAAATGAAGAAACAAACTCTGAAGGATTAAGTGACTGGCCCTAGGTCCCGTAGCTACAAAATGGCCCATTTAGTTCAGTGTGACTTCAGAGCCTCATATTTTCTCTTAAAAAACAGAGTGCTGAAATTGCAAATACATTCTTGAGAAGATAGTATTGTAGTAATCAGTCAGTGGAGAAAGCTATAACTAAAATGTTTCAGCTTTATTCATTTTATTTTTATTTTTGAAAGATTTTATTTATTTATTAGAGAGGGAGCATGAGAGCAGGGTGAGGGGCAGAGGGAAAAACAGTCTCCCCGCTGAGCAATGGTACTCTGAGACCGTGACCTGAGCCAAAGGGAGATGCTTAACTGACTGAGCCACCCAGGCACCCCAGTTTTTTCTTTTTTTATTTTAAAGATGATGCTCCAGAATGGTTTAATGAAGAGCATATAAAATATTTTGGTATGCATGTGTCATCCCCAGGAAGGTGGCTTTGAGGAACCACTACTTCTGTTTATATAGTAAACTGACTAATTTAGGAGACTGATGGAGTACGGATGGTAGGACAGATTAATGGAGAGGGATGTCGTAAAGTCACAGAAATACGTAAGATTGATTTAGAGTTGGAATGGATTACAAAGCTCCCAGAGTGTGGGAAGCAGCAGCTTCATTTACTAAGAATTTGCAAAAAGTAGGTGTTATACTACTTATTCACAGACCTACTTGTCAGGTCATTCAACAGATACAGGGTTCCCCCTGATGTGCCAGGCATCAGGTTAGGCACTGGGGATACAGTAGTAAATACCACAGTGTCCTTATATTCCTGGAGCAGAAGGAGACAATAAACAATAAGTATGACAGGTCTTGATAAATGCTCTGGATTGGGGAGGGGGTGTCAGAGTAAATGGAGTGATCTGGGAAGTCCTCTCCAGGAAGTAACATTTGAGCAGAGCCCTGAGTAATAGGAAGGGGTGAGCCCTGCAGCTCTCCAGAGTCCAGACAGAAGGTAACAGCAGCAAGTAAGTGCCAAGACTCTGAGGCAGGAGTGTGCTCGGAGGATGTGAGGAAGAGCAAGGAGGCCAATATGGCTGGACCAGGGCGAATGAGGACAGCAATGATAGTAAGAGATTTGAGGTGCCCTGAGGATTGGGGATTTTATCTGTGGTATGGTTGTCAGCTACGGGAGGGTTTTGAGCAGAAGAGTGACATGTAATTTACATTTTTCAGCCCTCATTCTGGCTGCTATGTGGGGAGTAGACTGTAGGAAGGCAAGAGTGGAAGGCTGTTGCAGAGCCCACATGAAGTGTGTTGGTGCCTCAGGCCAGGGTGGTGGCCATTAAGGGTTAAGACATGGTTGGATTCAGATGTATTTTGAGAGTGGATCTTACAGGGTGTGCTGATGAATCAGACGTGAGGTATGAGGAAATGAGAATTCAGGGACTCCAGGGCTTTGGCTTGGGTAGCTGGAAGAATGGAAATGCCACAGGAATAATATTTTGTTTTATAAACGTGGGCTCTTCCTCCAGGTTACCTCAGTTTTAGGACCCGCTGTGCCTTTGATTGCCTGTGTGACTTTCAATAAGGTGCTTTAACTGCCTGGATTTGAATCCCAGCTGTGCTGTTAAGTACATTTCTGACCTTGGGCAGGCCACTTTAATTTTATTATGCCTTAATTTTCTCATCTGTAAAATAGCTATTATAGTAGCATCTACCTCATATGGTTATTATGAGGGCTAAATGGGTTAAAAATATAGAGTGCTTAGAACAGTGCCTGATGTTTAGTAAGTTCTCAGTAAATTTCAGCAGAAATTTTTATTATATGAATAGTAATCTGTTTTATTTGCTACCAGGACCCCTAGCACCTTAAGCAATGTTTGGCACCTGATAGGTGCCCAGATATTTCTTTTGTGAATAAACAAGGAAACAAATGAACTGATAAATGTTAGCCCTTTCCTTCATAGCACATGCTCATATGTTCCCTGTTTTACGTAAGCCCTTTCAGTCTTCTGGTGTTTTTTTCCCCTCCTCATTGATATCCTCTGACTTCAGCGAGAGTGGGTCCAACTTGCTACTTTTTTTTGTTGTTGTTCTTTTTTGTGAAGCAGTTAACGTATTGAGCCATATTTGATGGATATTAACTAAACTTACTATGGTAGTCACTTCATAATATATGCATATATTAAATCATCGTATTGTACACCTCAAACATACACAGAATGTGTCAGTTATATCTCAGTAAAACTGGCAAAATAATGTTTTCATTTAAAAAAAATGAAAAACCCATATTTTACTTCCACATTTATTTTATTTTTCTTTTAAAACATATGTAGGTATATATTGGGGCTTATTCAGTCTGTTTCTTTGATAAAACCATTTGTTATTTGTCAGGCTGTTTGTTTTCTTGCCACGGAGTGCGCTGCCCTTTATGCTTTCTGTGTTTTAGTGATGAAGGGTTCTAGCAAAGTCTGGCAGTGATTGTTCACTTAAAACTCCTGCTCCTGATTGAGACTCACATTTCTCTCAGGAAGCCTTGGACAGTACTTAAATGTTAATAAAAGACAACGCTAAGAATTCCTCTTTGTTTTTATGTTATACTACTTTGCGTGCTGTTTGGATATTTATTCCATCAGTCATTATATGCTTCTTTCTGTTTCCTTGTGATATGGTAAGATTTTCTTTGATTTTAATTTATGAGGACATCAGAAGAGTAACAGGGAAAGGTTAAGATTTAAACAATCATGCGGTAGCTTCCAAAGTAGTCTGCTTCCCTTTCCTGCTTTTGTGCTTTTCCCTATTGCCTGGATCTGGTCTCTCAGATTAGACCAGCTATCTGCTCCTTCTGTTCGCCCTCAGATATGGATGTGGAGGGAAAGTGTGAAGATGAAGGTCAAATGTGGTTGTAATATTAATAGGAATGTAGATTGTGAATACAGATTGAAAATCTGTCACTACAGATAAAGAAAAAAACGATCTTAGTTGAAATTTAGATAATATCTCTATTTTTAAGAGGAGAAAATTGAAGCACATTAGATAGAAGGTCACAGACTATGTTGGATGGGGACTAGAACTTAGTTTTTACGTTTCCGGTAAGTTAAGTATTCAGTTTTTCACTGGGATATTAGATTTTCACTTGAAATTCATTTGCAGTGGAGTGAGATCATCTAAGATGATAACATTAGGAAACGTGAGTTATACAAAAACAGTGCCAAGAGTATACAAAAAAAATTCCATTAGTTGATGTTAAAAATATATTTTTTCTTCTTTTTTGTGATCTGAGTGGTGGTGGGAGCAGAGCTTGTTGCTTAAAGTGGTCATGCAGATGGCCGATTGTCCCAGCATCAAAGGGAAGGATGTAAATGTATAACTGATTGATGGGCAACATGGGTGGCTGCCGTCCATTAGATACTGATGGCCAGTCTTGAACTCACAGAGGGTGTTTAAAATGACTTAATAGTTGCAGGATGGACTGTTGGTATTCTCAGGGAGGAAACTACTCTCCTAGCCAACTCTAAGGTGAAAAGCTGAGTCCCCACCTAAACTAATACTGAAACTCTGCCTTCCTCCCTAGGTTGTTGTGAGGATTTAATGATTTTTTTTTTTTTTTGGTATAAAAGCAGATTGTAAATAAAGTGCTCTTTCACATAAAAGGAGCAATATTTAAAAACTTTTTCATCACTAAAAATGTTTTATTGGCACTGTTACAAAGAAAATAAGATATTTGATCTATTTATGATTTTTCATGCATTATTTAATGGTATTTATTTCTTAATAGCAGTTGTTGGTTTTTTTCCAAGAAGCCAATGTTTAACATTACATGTTCTTTCATTCTAGGGGGCTCGTGTTGGCAGAATAGATGCTTTCGTTCAGAGCTTGGACAAAAATTTTATGGTTCCAGTAGGTGGCGCTATAATTGCTGGCTTTAATGATTCCTTCATTCAGGAAATCAGCAAGATGTATCCAGGTAAAGAAATAACTAACAAAAATCCATTTATACCTAGGCTACTATAAAAAAAAAAAAAATCTTAATTTCTAAAGGTTTTCCCCCCTTCCTGAATATAATTTATTTATCTTATCTCAGGAAGAGCTTCAGCTTCACCTTCTTTAGATGTCCTTATTACTTTATTATCACTTGGATCAAATGGCTATAAGAAGCTATTAAAAGAAAGAAAGGTAAGCTTTCCCTTTTGGTATAAAATAGGTCTAAAATCTTGACTAGAATTATTCCAAATTATTGGTGTTTTTGCCTTTGGTTTGCCACGTTGAGAGTATAGATGGCTAGTGTGATCCTAAGGGATTTACTTTGATGTGGAATCATTCCAGGTGATTTCAGTTAATCATTTTGTCCTGTTTATTCAGATATTGTGAGTGATCTTGGACAGGTGAGTTTGCTTTTTTTTTTTTTTTTTTTTTAGAAACTCTTACATCAGAGATTCTTACTAAGTTTAGTAAAATTCAGTTCATTTATCACTTAAAGATAGAGGGTCTTGAGAGACAAATGGACAAGTTTTTTTCTTCTTAGTTTTTGGAAGTCTGAAGACGTGTGTAGGTGTGAGATGACAGTCACAGAGGAAGAACCAGGTCAGAAGTTGGCCAGCTTCTCATTCTAAAGTAATACATTCATCTCTTGTCATTACTGGAATGCTGAACTCATTGGTTATGTTGGCTGTGAAAAGAAAAGTGACATTTGTGCTTGAAAACTGGACTTTGTCTCCAACACTAAAAACTGGCTTAATTAATTCAGGACAACTCCAAAATTGTAGACAGAGACAGTGTTGGCAGGGTGGGTCAGACTAAAATGTTTTATTCATCTCCCATCTGGGAGACCTAGAGGCCCCTGGTACAGTTTTTGTATTTGTGTAAATTTCTAACATTTAGTAGTAATTATAATCCCTGAGATTTATAATATATTTATGTATTTTTTTTGTATTTTCTGATAGATCCTCTCAACAGCCTTATGAATATGTAACAGAAGTTGAAAAATTTTGTTCCTACTTTCCTCTAGTTATCCCTTTCCCCCCACCAGTTCAGTCCATAGGAAAGTAATTGCTTACTTTGTATTATGAGGACATCTCTTAAGATTTATGAGATATAGGAAAAGAGGCTCAACCTCAGTCTTTAGGAAATGCCCCTGAAAACCTGGGAGATACCACTACACACCTAGTAGGAGGGCTAATATAAAGAACACTGACAATACTAAATGCTGGCAAAGAGCTCAAGCAAGTAGAGAACTCTCAGACATTGCTGGTGAGAACACAAATGGTACAGTAACTTTGGAAAACACTTTCACGGCTTTTATAAAGTTAAACATATGCTCACTGTATAAAGTAGCTTTCCCACTCCTAGCTATTCACTCAAGGGAAATGAAAATTTATGTCTGTACAAAAACCTATACATGAATGTTCATAGTGATTTTATTCATAATTGCCAAACCCTGGAAACAACTCAAATGTCCATCATCTGGTGTATAAACAAACTGTGGTGCATATATACTCAGCAATAAAAAGGAACAAATTACTGATATAAGCAACAAAATAATGGCTCTCAAATGCATTATACTAAATGAAATAAGCCAGACTCAAAAGGCTGCATGTTGTTTGGTTTCATTTATATGCCATTCTGGAAAAGGCAAAAAATATCAGGACAGAGAAAAAAATCAGTGGTGGACAGTTGTGGGTTGAGGGAAGGGACTCATGGGATGGGAAAATGGGCTGTATCTTGGCAATGGGAGTAGTTTCACAACTGTGTATGTTTGTCCAAATTCATAGAAGTGGACCCCTAAATAATGGGCCTCTGAAATTTTGCTATATGTAAATTATGCCTCAATAAACCTAACAAAGATTTTCAAATGATTAGAATAAAAGTCCGGTTTGATATACTCCCAGAGGTAATCATCATGGTCATAGATTGTTGTAGCTACAAAGAGAAGACCTCAATAAATGTTCCAAGGAACCTTTTCCACATGACGGATGAAGCCTGATTATAAATGAGCAAAACTATCATGGGTTTATATTGTTTATATGAGAACTTAGTTGTATTAGATGCCAGTGGGCCTTAGCTCTCCTATAACTGATTGTTTCACTATGAAAAAGATGTTTGAACTCACAGATTTTTTTGTGAGGTGTTCCCATTACCCTCATTTTTACAGGAAGTAGAAGGATAGAGAGCTAACATGTATGAGGTAAACTGTGAGACATGGGTTCAAAGCTAGGCAGTTGAGCCTTTGATCCACTGTCTTAACCTCTGAACTCTACTGCTCTTTCCTTATGTAGATAAATAGTCTGGCCTGGTAGCTATATAGTTATCTTATATAGCTATAAATCTGAAGACTTGGGTCTACTAATAGCCAGTGAAGGCAAAAACAATGAATAAATTTAGTGATCGTGGCCAAAAAAGCGCAGTTATATTTTAGAAAGGATATAACGTATTTGCCTTGTGCAGAATCACTGTTGTTGGGAATGGCCCATCCCTGACTCCAGGTGATCCTAGTGAGACTATCAATCACAGCACCCCTTCCTGCTCTGTCCAGAGCAGTGGGCATGTGATCTGGCTAACTTGGTTTGCAGGTGGGCATGTAGAGGTAGATTGCATCCAGCAGGTTTGATAGGTCCTTTAGAGAGAGAGGGTTTGCTGCTTTGCAGATATATAAGGAGATAATACTCAGCTGCCATATTTCTGGCCATGCCAAGAAAGCCTTCTTAGGACTCGAGAATACAAAAGGGAAACAAACTAAAAGTCATTTGAGTCTCTGGATCGAGCCATGCTTGCTTGTAGACTTGGCTGTGAGATGAACCAACAAATTCCCTTTTCCGTTTTAAACTAGATTTCTGGGGTGCCTGGGTGGCTTAGTCAGTTAAGCGTCTGCCTTTGGCTCTGGTCATGATCCCCAGGTCCTTGGATCAAGCCCCACATCGGCCTCCCTGCTTAGCAAAGAGTCTGCTTCTGCCTCTCCCTCCTGCTCCTGCTCTTTCTCTCTCTCTCTCTCAAATCGATAGAATCTTAAAAAAAAAAAATAAACTCGATTTCTAACACTGATATTTTGATTCCCCTTACACCCTTGAGTCCTTTGTAATGTTTCTCAACATACATTTCCTCCTTTCCCCTTCCACTGCCACCACGTGTAGCTCAGACCCTTACCGTAGTACACCTGGATGCTTACAGTAATTGACCAATTCTTCTCCCAATCCCCAATTTTAGTCTACTCTAATATGCTATGTTATAGCATAGCAGAGTGCTAGATTAATATTTTAAAGTTCTTCAAGTTATTCTGCTTTGGGTTATGGTTGCCGGCAAGACAAAGTCCATATTCCTTAGCCTGCCATCATGATCCTTTATAGTCTGCTCTCACATTACTTTGGCAGTATTGGACCCTGTCATTCTTTATTCAGGCAGAGAAATGTTTATGCATAGGCCCTAAGGTAAATTCACAAATGAGACTTGCATAGTCTCTACCGTCATGGAAATTATAGTCAGGGGAAATCTAGATATTAAATAAACAATTAAAAATCTGTCCGGCATTATGAAAAGGACAAGCAGAAGGTAGGGGAGCGTGTGGCAGCTAACCCAGTTCCAACAGGGATGGGGAAGGCCTCCCTGAGGAAGAGACATCTGTTCTACAGAAGTACAGCTCATCCATTTATTAGACTCCTATGGTGTCATCATTAACTCGAATGGATGGCTAAAATAACTGTTGAACTGTTAAAGGGTATTTTAGACTGAATCTAGAAAGCAAAGTACTATGCCAGTTATTGGAGAGTTTGTTCTAGGTAACTTCATAAAACTGGTCTTCCTTTGGGATAAATTCAGAGTCAGTCACTCTGGAGTGGGGCTCAAACACCTGCATTTGTAACAGACTTCCCTGATGAATTTGATGCACACCCTAGTTTGAAACCCATTGTTTAGGGGACACAGAGGTCACTTGTATCTATAGCAGAAACTTGGAAAAGAAATATAACAGTGTCCTAGCATTTGAATACATAGGTTGATAATATTTTATGGAGTTTGAGACAGACTGTATAAATATCCCAAATATCAAAGCTTAACAATATAACTTGTTAGTTACCTCTTTATTTCTGATCTTTTCCATTATCCTAGATACAGTCTTATATTGTGGCTGCTCTTTACCTTACAATGATCCCTCTGCAGATTTGGCTAAAAATTCATTTTTGGAATCTATAATAGCTCTGATAAGACTATTACATAAAGTTTTAAGTTAGACATTTAAAGATTATTCTTTATAATATAGATAGAAACTTTAAAACTTTTTATATGCTCTTTTTATTATATCAAGCAAATATACTATTTAATATTTCCTATTTCTGTTCTTGAATTGAAACTGTATATGATAACTAATATTATTATATATTTGCTCTAATAACTTAGTTTAGTTTTAATAAACTAAAACAGGTCTTGAGTGATTTTGTAGTTAAATTTATTGAACTAGCAAATTAAGCTGATTATCTGAGTGCATGCCCCCCAGAATCACCATCAGGTCTCTGAAATGAAATTTGGTCCTTGATTATAGGTAGTCTGGGAGACTAGCTTCCACCTTGGAGTTTGCATTCATCCCTCTACTCTTCATGTCCTTTGCTTGATATTAGTAGATGCTCATCAGATGTTGGTGGAATGAACTAATGGATGGTATTTGGGAACACCTAGGTTTAGTTTCATATAGTCATCTCTTACGTTGCACAGAATAAGTATCTTTCTGGATAATTAGAAAGTAAATTAACTTTTTGATCCTGACTTACATTATGAGTTAGATGTTGTCATAGAAATATTTCTCTATATATTTTTAGTTGGAAATTTGTGAAAAGAAGTGAGTTGAAATGGTGATACCTGTTGTGTGTGACCGTTATTATACTTCTGGAAGTAGTTCTTCCTCCCTAGCAGGTATTTCTCTTCCAAGATAATTTCCTTACCTTGGGATTTTGGACTTGTTGATTTTAGGGGTGCCCTGTCATCTTTTTGGAATCTAAGAATTTCCATGATGCCATGGTTCTTTTGACTTTTCACATTGAGGTTTTGACTTTAAAATTTTCAGATACTTTTAGGGAATTCCAAATACCCATGCGTGTGTAACTTTTGCTTAGCATGAAAAAGAAAAACCACCTGCTTTGGGAATGACCTGTAGGAATATGTAGCTTGACTGGTAAATAGATCCAGCAGGTAGC